CAGATTCTCTTCTCTTCTAAATTCATTCTCTTCTCTTCTCTTCTCTTCTCTTCTCTTCTCTTCTCTTCTCTTCTCTTCTCTTCTCTTCTCTTCTCTTCTCTTCTCTTCTCTTCATTCTATTCTAAATTCATCCATTATTGGAAAGTCCAGTTGCCTCTTGAAAAAGCACCTTTGGGACAACCATGACTGAGAATCTCCATAAACATCAAGGGACCTTGGAGGTCTTCTAGTCCAACCACCCCTATTCAAGCAAGAGTCCATGTAACATTTCATACGATGGTGATGCAATCTGTGTCGAGCCTCGGTTGGGTCTCGCCATCACTAGGGAGGACGACAAGGAGGGGGCAAGCTGTTGGACTCTCTGGGGGCGTGTCATCAGCTGTTTGAGAAGTCTTTACCACCCGCACACAAAACGAAGCAAACTCTTTCATCGGAGATGGGGGGGGCATGGTGTTTGCAGATGACGCTGCCTTGTGCTGTAACAGAGGCGCGCTCCTCCTACAGGCCAGCTTGAGGAAGGAGGGATGATGTTGACTGTTTGATTGTTAATTGATTTATTGTGCTCCTCCTTCAGGCCAGCTACGGGAAGGAGGGGTGATGTCAACTGCACTGGTGGACTGGCCGAGAATCTGTTTTTGAAAGCCTCCATTGATGGACCACGCAAACCTCTGAAGGCAAGCCATTCCATTAGGAGGTTTCCCTTTTGTTCTTAGTACCTTTAATCTCCAATTAAATTCTTAATCCACCTACCTCCAATTAGACAGCGCTTACTGTGAAGATGTCCCGCAGAGGACTGGAGGTGGATTCGCAGGCACCAAGATGTCGTGCTCCTTTGGCAGTGATGCCCAAGGACTGCCCATTGACCTTACAGACCCTGCCGAACAGTGAAAAGGCTAAAAGGCACAAAAATGAGCACCTTCTACAGAATGACCGGTGAGGTTTCACATTGGAAAAAATAAAGCATAGCCAGTGGGGGAAGATGCTAGGAACTGAGATTCAATAGCCTTCAAGCTCAGATTGCAAAGTTTCTTTTAGGATAGGTCAAACTATACTTCTGATGATAGTGAAAAATCCTACAAAGATTGATAAAGGTTTGAATAAAGATGTAACGTATATTATAAATCATTATTAGACTGTGTGAGTAAACCCAGATTCACACTTGAGTTAAGGGGTTCAAGATTCTGGCTTCCCGGGAAGTGACACGAGGCTGGCTCCAGGGGAATATAAATGCTTCGTTGGGTGAGGGTGACTTTCCCGCCACCTTGAAAGAGGCGGTGGTGAGGCCTCTCCTCAAGAAGCCTTCCCTGGACCCGGCAATGTTGGTAAACTATCATCCGGTCTCCAACCTTCGCTTTGTGGCGAAGGTTGTTGAGAGTGTGGTTGCGCAACAGCTCCCCCAGCACCTGGATGAAACGACGTATCTAGATCCGTTCCAGTCGGGCTTCAGGCCTGGGTACAGCACGGAAACAGCATTGGTCGCGTTGGTTGATGATCTCTGGAGGGCTCGGGACAGGGGGTGCTCCTCTGTCCTGGTCCTGTTAGATCTCTCAGTGGCTTTTGATACCATCGACCATGGTATCATGCTGCACCGATTGGAAGAGTTAGGGTGGGAGGCACTGTGTTGCAGTGGTTCTCCTCCTTTCTCTCTGACCGGTCGCAGTCTGTGTTGACAGGGGGGCAGAGGTCAACCCCGAGGCCCCTCGTATGCGGGGTGCTGCAAGGGTTGGTCCTCTCACCCCTCCTGTTCAACATTTATGTGAAGCCGCTGGGCGAGATCATCCGTGGTTTTGGGGTGAAGTACCACCAGTACGCTGACGACACTCAGCTGTACATCTCCACCCCAGACCACCCCAACGATGCCCTTGAAGTGATGTCCCGGTGCCTGAAGGCCGTGCAGATCTGGATGGGGAGGAATAGGCTCAGGCTCAACCCATCCAAGACCGAGTGGCTGTGGTTTCCGACATCCCGATATAGTCAGTTGGTGCCATCACTGACTATTGGGGGCGAATCATTGGCCCCCACGGAGAGGGCTCGCAACTTGGGCGTCCTCCTGGATTCACGGCTGTCTTTAGAAGAGCACTTGACGGCCATGATCGGGAGGATTTTTCATCAGGTTCGCCTGATCCACCAGTTGCGTCCCTTTCTGAATCGGGACTCGTTACGCACGGTCACTCATGCCCTCGTCACCACCCGCCTGGACTATTGCAACGCTCTCTACATGGGGCTCCCCTTGAGGAGCACCCGGAGGTTCCAACTGGCGCAAAGTGCGGCTGCGCGGGGGGTAATGGGAGCGACATGGCGTTCCCACATAACACCCCTCCTGCGCGAGCTGCACTGGCTCCCGGTGGTCTTCCGGGTGCGCTTCAAGGTTTTGGTTACCACCTTTAAAGCGCTCCATGGCTCAGGACCTGGGTACTTGCGAGACCGCCTACTACCACCAATAGCCTCCCACCAACCAGTACGCTCCCATAGAGAGGGGCTCCTCCGGGTGCCGTCAACCAAACAATGCCGACTGGCGGCCCCCAGGGGGAGAGCCTTCTCTGTGGGGGCACCTACTATCTGGAACGAGCTCCCCCCGGAGATACGGAGGATCCCGGATCTGCGCACCTTCCGCCGCACTCTAAAGACCTTATTATTTCACCAGGCGGGCCTGGCCTAATTTTCTCCCTCTTTTATAAAAGATTTTTAATTTTTAATCTTTTAGTATTTTAAAAGTATTTAAATCTTTTAGTATTTTATATATTCAAATTTTAAAATTAGTTTTAAATAGTTTGGGGTTTTAATTTGTCTGGGCCAAAACTATTTAATTTGATTTTAATTCTTTTTTTAAATTTTGTATGTATGTGTTTTATTGTTTGGCTGTGCACGCCCTGAATCCTTCGGGAGTAGGGCAGTATAGAAATCAAATTAAAAAAAAAAAAGATTCAAAGAGGGATGATTAGTTTGGTCCTTGGTGCTCTCTGAGCTTGGTAGATTTTCTTAAGACATTTCATGACCCAACTAGGCAACATCATCAGTATTAGAAAGGCCTGGGGTTTGCTGTTTATAGTGGCTAGCCCCATCAAGTGTTGCTGGGAGGGTTCTCGGTGGTTCCTTGATCTGGCTTGTTATTTGTCTGAGTTAGAAGTGCCTTGACTGGGTTATCTGATGATTAGATCGGAGCCATTCTGAGAGTCAGCTGGGGATGGGGGGGACAGTTTCATCCGTAGGCTACATCAGAGAAGCATTTGCAAGCCTATGGCTAGGCCTCTTCCGTTATTTTTTTAAAAAAACAGCATAATAGCACTAAGGATGTCGCACTCTAGCTGTTGAACCTGGGTGCAGGAGCTTAGTAGCAGGCTGGCCTTGAATGCATTTGGAGAGGAGACTTATTTCTGCTGAGAAAATTACCAAGGAGGTAAATGCTGGGACTTAGCCCAAGGAGACTAAGTCCCGGCAGCCTCTGATGTGGGACCAACCCATGTTATTTCTGTTCAGCAGGTGTGCTGTGAAGACCCATCATAAATAGGCTGAGGGCAAACACAAATTTCAGGTATTCCTTTAACACAATAGCCAATGACAGATTGGCAGTCTGAATCCATGGTGGCCACTCAGCCAAAACTTTTCGGGGGGGGGGAGGAGGGAGGAAGAAAGATGTAGAAAATGACTGGCGTATAATTTGGAGTATAGCTGGGAGGGTTAGGTGGCAAATAGGCACTTAGACCGAAGGACCATTAAGACACATATTGAAGGCAAATATGTGTCCCAGGATAAATGTTGCTGGATCCAATCTGGGTCAGTCATTGGAAACGGAGCTTTAGTTTACTTTTGGATCCTGCAACAATTCAGAGAGTTTAACATGGACCTGTGGACTTCGACTCCCAGCAAGGCTGGCTGGGGAATTCTGGGAGTTGAAGTCCACAAGTGTTAAAGTCACTAAGGTTGGACACAGGGGGGGTGGGTTCTAAATTTTTTTACTACCGGTTCTGTGGGCGTGGCTTATTTTGTGGGCGTGGCTTGATGGTCATGTGACAATTATTTAGGATTTAGCAGAGGTACTGGTCTACCAGGCTTTTAATTGCTTGCAGAGCTGTACCGATCTACCCATTTATTTTTTGCAGGCACTGGTCTACCCATTTATTTTTGCAGGCACTGATCTACTCATGTATTTTTGCAGGCACTGATCTACTCTTGTATTTTTGCAGGCACTGATCTACTCATGTATTTTTGCAGGCACTGGTCTACCCATTTGTTTTCTTTTAACACTGATCAGCTGGTAGGGCGGTCCTTTGAAGCCCCGCGGCAAGAGTTTAAACAGTTTTTTCCCCTCTAGCCATCAGCTGGGACTCAGGAGGCAGCAATAGATTGGGGGTGTGGCCAAATAAAAGGAAAGAATAATACAGGGGTGAGGGGTGCAGGGGGGACAGAACCGGTTCGGTGACGTCATATCGTCACTGCTACCGGCTCGGGAGAACCAGGCCGAACCGGGAGGAACCCACCTTGGTATAGAACAGTGATGGCTAACCTTTTCTGGACCGAGTGCCCAAAGTCCATGTGTGCACGCATGTGCGTGCAAACCCCCAAAATGCAATGCGCTGCTGCAGTCCCTGCGTATGTGCCCAGCCCCCCTGCACGTGCCCCACCCCAGCGCATTCTCACACGGCCCACAGAAACCCCGCCCCCTGCACATGCATAGCAGAGACCCGAAGACCAGCTGGCCGGCGGGAGGCACACTGGGGCAACGGCTCGCGTGCCATCAGAGAGGGCACTGTGGGCCACCTCTGGCACGCGAGCCATCGGTTTGCCATCATGGGTATAGAAGATAGAATCAATCTGGCTTCTTGCTAAATTCCCCTGGATTGGAAGTTTCTCTTGTTTTACAGAGCAGTTCCCACTGAGCACGCTAGGTGGCAGAAGATCCATTCTAAATGCAGGATTCATTTCCAGTTTCTCTTAAGAGTACCCAGCAAAAAACAAGAATAGCCAGGGACAGCTAGCACACACACAAATACACACAAAAACACTGGGAATTAGGAAGTTTATTCACTAAAGCAACACTGAGGAAAGTCTTTACATACAGGCTTTTTAAATTATCTTTACAAGCAGGTTCCAATATACAGTATTTCTCTCTTTTTTTTTCCCTTTTCCTTTAGGCCAGTGTTTCTCAACCTTGGTAGCGTGAAGATGGGTGGACTTCAACTCCCAGAATCCCTCAGCCAGCAGCGCTGGCTGGGGGATTCTGGGAGTTGAAGTCCACCCATCTTCACGCTTCCAAGGTTGAGAAACACTGCTTTAGGTGAAAGGCTACATAAGAGTATTTTGCAGCCAGTATTGATTTAGTACAAAGACTAACACTGCAGTTAATCTTGACAAATCGTGGTGCTTTTGAGAATCACGCAGGCAGTGAGCAGCTTTGCCACAGCAGTGATCAACTTTAACTTAGTTTCTGAAGACCCAGCTAGTCCTCTCTAACCATGATCGTGTTTCAACAAGGCACTACTCACTGACACGATAATCCCACATCCCACAACCACAGAGGCTGCACCAGCCAAAGGCAAGGACAAGTTTAAATCTAGGGGGTCTTCAAAGGCCTTGGCCCACTTCAGCTGGACCAGGTCCGTTGCATTTGAAGAACCGCTACAATGATGGAGGGCAGAGCAAATGGAATTGTCAGTCTGGTGCCAGGATGCTTCTGGCGGTAGCAGGTTGGTCTACCAAAAGCAACAATAATGCCAAAAAAAAAAAAGAGGGTGGGGGGGAAAAATGAACCTTAGGATGCTAATGTACCATCAGACAAATGGCTTCAGGCACGCAAAGAATGGGTGGCAAGGACACTCTATTGACCTCCAAACACAGCATTTGAGACTAAGTCAGTTTGCAAGTCCCTATAACTGGATTCCAAACTCTTGAAATATGCAATGCTCCTTGTTTGCACAAGGCAGGTGGTAGTTATTGCAGAGTATTTTTTTTTTAAAAAAAACCACAATTAAATCAAGCAATTCTAACGGCAAGCCTTAGCTTTGGCAAACGTTTTAGGGATTTTCACTTTTGAGTTATGGCATGAAGAATGTGGAGGTTCAGAAAGAAGATGCTTTAACAAGACAAAAGCTTTGCAAGACCAGGTTGTGTAGGCATGCAAGCCACCGTTCCACGAATATTTTGGGATAATGAAGAGGCATTTTATGGGCTGAATCCTCCATGGAAAGGAGGATTTATGTTTAAAAAACCTGAAACACGAACATTAATATATACTGAAAAACTATTTCACTGCTTCAGCCTTTAAATTTAATCTTTAAATTTAGGCACAACTCCATGCTCATCAAGTGCAAATCTGTTTTGTTCCACTTCATTATACACATTGGAGTGGTTTAAATACCTTAGGAATTATTGCATAATGCAGCAGAATCCAATGGACACAATGCATGTTAGCCAAAAGTAAAGATTAATAAAATCCCAGATTTCCCCCCCCCCCCACTTTAAAGAAATCATTAAGGCCACTGGGAATCTGGCTGCCTATCTGAGACTCCTAGCAACTTTGAATGAGCCTTCAAGTCACACTGCAGGCCAGCTTTGAAAATAAGAAATGCCTTTCATCCACTGGACATCCTAAACATACGTAAGAACTTTCTCCAACAAAACTGCATTCAAAAAGGTAGGCCCTGTCAGTTGTATAAGGGAGACTCACAAACCATGATTAAAAACCCACCCGGTCCCACCTTGGCTTTGCCCAATCAATGCCCGAAGTTACGACTCAGGGCAGCTCAGTCAACCCCCTCTGGGCGAGGGACTTCCAAGTTGCCTCAAGACACAGTTTAGAAGTTGAACATCAACCTCGCATGCTGCTATCTGCTACCACCAGCTTGCTTCTCACTGGCCAGTATGACAATGGAATTGGGAGCAAAAGGCGACTGTTATCTTTGGAAAGTAATTCCCCCCCAAGTGCTGTATCTTCCTGAAGCGAAGAGGCCACCTTCCAAGGGTTACTTCTCATTAAGTGCTTACAGCAGAGGTCTTCAAACTTGGCAGCTTTAAGACTTGTGGACTTCAACTCCCAGAATTCCATAGCTGGCTGGAGAATTGAAGTCCACAAGTCTTAAAGCTGCCAAGTTTGAAGACCTCTGGCTAACAGTAACGCTGGGAACATGAATTTAAAAATGCTACTTGAAGGCCTCCCAATGCATACTGAAATACTGGTACCGATATAGAAATTCAACCTGACGCAGTCGCGCTTTTAATAAACTGGATTACGGTTATTTCTTGCCACTGAGAAATGGGACAACCCTCTCCAATGTTTTTCCTCGGTCTAACTCTACAGGTACCCCTGGGTGGTTAGGCATCTTCTGTTGACATGGTACATCCACGCCCTGATTGGGACAAGAAGATGGGTGTTAACTATTGGGGGAAGAACAGCTCGAGTCTGTTCAAGGTGTCAAAAACAGCAAGAAAGTGGTTGTAGATTTTTAATTTTTTTAATCCCTTCTGGACTGCCGTTTGTGCAACTACATAGGATTCCGTCTTATTTATAGTGCCGAAAGGAGGCAGACCCTTGGGTCCCATTGGATCAGTCAGCTTGCTTGGACAACTGCTTGCTTGACAGGCTCCGGCTGCTCCGGCACAGTGCCAGACGGATTAGCCAGGGGTTCAACCCCAGCTACCTGGACTGATGTGCTGGTCAGCTTGGATTAAACAAGGTGTGATCCACATCAAAGTTTGTGGGGCTAGCGTTATGACAGAAAACCCCTGCCCGTTTTAAACGCAACCCTCCTTCAACCGCTATCCCTGATCACAGAAAAAAAAGGCAACTGAAGCTTAAAGCATGTCTGCCATTTGAAGAAAACGGGGTTTTTTTTTCCCCCTCAAGAAAGCATTTTCTGGCCAACAACATCAAGAACATTTCACTGCGTACCTTCAAGGTTTACAAGCGACACAAACACAGCTAAGGGCTCTTGGTCGGTCTTTCGATGATAAACTTAAGTTGGCTGCATATATTTCTTACTTATCCTGCTTAAGAAAAGCAAAGCTACTTTTCCCTGGCTTAATTTAGCCTATCTGGCGCCCTCCAAATACACCACGGTTTCCAGCTAACAAGCCAGGTTATTTGAGGACGATGGAAGATTTTAGCCCAGAGATCTTCAAACTTGGCAGCTTTAAGACTTGTGGACTTCAACTCCCAGAATTCTCCAGCTATGCATAGCTGGCTGGAGAATTCTGGGAGTTGAAGTCCACAAGTCTTAAAACTGCCAAGTTTGAAGAACTCTGATTTAGCCTGACATATTTGGAGGGTGCCAGATTTGGGGAGGTTATTCTGATTTTATTTTTTTTAAAAGGGTGCGTTTTTCTATAAGAAACATTCTATAACTAATATTCAGCAGAGCTCAAAATCAATGCTGTGGTAGATTTTTCAAATTTCATTTAACACTTTTAAGTGTTTTTTTAAAAAATGCCATTTCAAACAAGTGTTCTCAGATTGATACTGGAATAAGATTTCAAGACAATTGAATCACATTTGCAACTTCTGTTTCTGTGGTTAACCCTCCCTTCCATTGATGGCCTATCGGACAGAATTTCTCAGTCTCCAGCGACTGTCTATCAACTTTCCCCAAAGATTAAAACATTTTTGTTTCTTTTGTGACTTCCCAAGATTTCCCCCAAGTGTGTATGTGTACATAAATGCGTTTGGCATTTTTAAAAATAGGGTTTAAAAAAATGTAAGCTTTATTATGAAAAATAATTTCTGAATCCCTACATATATGGCAGAATTTTGTGCAAACATTCCAGATTGGCTTCTTGAGATGTTTTAGTTGTAACAGAACTCAATAAATAATGTTACCGTTAAGCAAGCCTTGAAATGAAAATTTACAAGCTGGCGGTCATGGACTCCTCATTTCCAGAGTCACATCACATGCCATTTGACAACCGTCGGTATAAACCAAAGTCTGGGATATATATTAAATACTGCTTTTCAGTTACGCCATGATAATTGAGTAACACTTATATATTCTACAGAGCTTATCTACAAGGAACGGGTAAGACTTTTAAATATAAATATATCCATTTCACCCTGTGAAATTTTGTGGCCACTTGTGAACCATGAATTAGGGACCCCAAAAACACAGAGAACAGTTTGGGATCTTCCTTGCGAAAACATACAACCTCCGTTAAATATTAAATATACATCTTTTACAAAGTTTGGGGTTATAAATAGAGACAATTTGCATAGGCCTCTTGAGAGACAGACTTATGGCTGAAGAGTAACGTGAAAGGAAGAAAACAACAACAACAAAAGAAAGATCAACAGTATCATTTGTCCATCACTTTCTAATTAATTCCCAGAACCGGAAGTTGGGCCTCTCAGCCATCTATTCTTCGGGGAGACATCTAAAGCAGGGGTCTCCAACCTTGGCAACTTTTAAGACTTGTGGACTTCAACTCCCAGAGTTCCTCAGCCAGCAAAGCTGGCTGAGGAACTCTGGGAGTTGAAGTCCACAAGTCTTAAAAGTTGCCAAGGTTGGAGACCCCTGATCTAAAGGATACAATTTCCATCAGCAACTTTCCCGGACAGAGGAGACCATCGGCGCCATCAGGAGAGGTCACAGGCTCGTGCAGATCGAGGCTTGAAGAAGCAATGCACTTTTTTTTTTTTTTAAGAGGGTAAAACTGAGACTAGAAGAAGCAGCATCTGATGATGCGCATCGTTTGGTGCCTTCCAGGCTCTCGCCGGAGCCTCCTGGACAGGAAAAGGGCGGGCAAGCAGCGTCATGGGACAGGACCGCGGCAACGACATGGGAGAGTCCCACTCGGGCTACGTCTTTGGTTTAGGGAGTCGGGAGTGACGGTGAAAAGTCAGGACCCCCTCCCCGGGGCGAAGGGTCGGATCTCGGCTCTGTGGGGCGTCTTTTGCTGGCGTCAGGAGCTTCGAGGGGCCAGCCTGAAATCTCTGCTGCTCAGGAGCTACGATGGTTTGGGGGGTCGTCCTCTGCTTGGGGCGGAAGGAAATGGCCGGAGGGCGAAGTTTGGAGGCCCTCTGGGTCCTGCTGCTCGGAAGGGAGAGGTTAGACACTGAGTGGGGTTGTGCTTGGCCGCTCGGTGGAGGCACCAGGGAGTCTCTCGAAGAGCTTGCTGGAGGAGGCACTGGCGCGGTCTGCTTTGGGGCTCGGAGAGCTCTTGACATCTTTGGTGGCAAAGCCTGGTTTGGCCTAGAGCTGTGACTTTTTAGAGCTGGCATGGCCTGCCCATCCTGCGCATTCAACTGGGCCGAGGGGGCAAGGGGCTGCGAGGCATTCAATTTCTGACCAGCGACGTCTTTCGCTTTTTCTCTGACCGTTTCATTCTTGATGGAATGTGCATTCGCCAGGGAGTTGTCATCGTTCCGCTGTGTGTTTAAAGTGCTTGGTTCACGTCCGCTGTCAGTGCCGGAGCCCAGGGCAGCGTGGTCGTCTTTGTGGCCAACGTGTTCCGGTTGGTCCTGAGGAGGGGGCTCACTGTGAGCCACGGTGGGTGATGCTTTTGCTAGTTTTCCCTGGCTGAGGTCTGCGGAACGGGGAAGGTGGCTGGAAGGCTGTAGTACTTGAGGCTATAGAGGAAACAGTACATGCCAATGGATTAGGAAAAGAAAGCATGGGAATCTTACTGGCATCTGCTTAAAAATTAACTTCTGTGTTTAAAGCTAATGAGCAAAGGGCAAAGGAACCAATGTTTTCCAGGCCTGTGCAAGGACACTAAAGGAATAGGCTTTTGCAGTCAAAATTCATGATTATATTTAGGTCTGTATGTAAATCTATACAATTCCAACACCCAACTGAACTCTTATTATTGTTCCTTAATCACCTGTATTTTTGCCTTCTAGCCCAGAGGTCACTCAAGGAAACTAATACTAAAACAGAAGGCTCCAATCTTGGCAACTTTAAGACTTGTGGTCTTAGCAAAGCTGGCTGAGGAACTCTGGGAGTTGAAGTCGACAAGTCTTAAAGTTGACAAGTTTGGAGACCCCTGTACTAAAACATGAAATTGTATCAGCTAAAAACAAGTTAAAATCAACTAATCTTCAAACTAGAAAAGGACAGGTAAAAAGGAGGCACTGGACTCTTTACCCTAAATGCAGTTAAAAGACTTTTCCTGAAGTGACAGTTGAAGGCAACTCCCAAGGCAATTATCCTCCATAGTTGGGGAGCAATGCAGCAACTGTACCAGTAAACAAATGTCGGAAAAGGAGGTCATTGTCTTCATTTGATAGGGTCTTTTTTGGTTCAGATGAATTGGGCAACCCCTCCAAATATTTCATCCATTACCGCAGGGATCTCCAACCTTGGCAACTTTAAGACTTGTAGACTTCAACTCCCAGAATTCCCCAGCCAGCTATGCTTGAAGTTTAAAGTCTTAAAAGTTACCAAGGTTGGAGATCCCTGCATTAGAGTAGAAAAACTGGCCTATTCCTATTGTTTTATCACAATAGCAGACGTAACTGTGCCACAATTAAATGCTGTATAAGCAAATTTAACCACATGAGCACCGTCTTCCCAAGATCCATTGGCTAAAGCTTATTATTTGCAAGAATATGTTGATTTATTGGATTAATCGGACGTTGAAATCTCCATAAAGTCTTTGGGTTCTTCAGCTGTTAATAAATGGTAGGCTTAGTTAGAAGGTTATCTAGGCTGGCTTAATAAGCTATGTTTCAATGCAGAGTATACAACCTGGGATTACTACAGTAGTCCTGTTTCATGATCATTCTCTCTCAGAAACGATAACGAGTGTAAGGAAAAATTCCATAACTTGGTGAATGAGTAAATAGGGTACAGGCCTGAGAAAGGTCTCTCCCTCACAGTTTTCACAAGACAAAACAGACAGTAAGCTGCATCATACGTTCCCTGTGTTTTAGTCTCATTTTAGCACTGTACATCCTGAGTTAATTGACGTGGCCTGATTTTAACAGATATATTTTACTGTTTTCTATACACAATGTACCCACCTGCATAGATGTGATGTTAGAAGACATGCAACTGTTGCAGATGGCAAATACAGACCAGAGTGATTTGTAGACAGAAAACATACAACACATAAAACACAAACTGCCCTCAACATACAACAATCTCACACAATCCCTCTATTTATATCAATGCCTGGAGGCTTTGAGGGGTATTATTATTTTTGGCTGATGTAAAAAGGGCTCTCTTCCATTTCAGGATTTTAAGTTACCCAATGGAGGATAATAAAATAGTTATTCAACCCCTTTGCCTCATCATGGACCAGGCAGCGTTACACACAAATACAAAGTGATTTAATTTTTCTACAGGATGATCCTTTCTTACCATATATATCTACTGAAGGATACCTTCCTCTTTATATTATAAAATACCACCACCACTGAGGGGTGACAAAATGGAATTTGATCAGTACAAGAAAGAAAATTATGTACTAGTATTTGACAGTAAATGGGACGGAATAAAACAATTATTAAAACTGAGAATTAGATTACAGCAAACCTCAATTTATCAAAAATTCCCAAAAAGAAAATACATTAAAATGCTGCAACGTAAATTGTTGAAAAACAAACAAAAAACAAAAAACTGTAACATATGCCTCATTACTCATAGTCTTACACAAATATGTGAGTTAGATCCTGTTCTTCTGCTTTAGGAAAAAGTGTGCCTAATGTAACTAAAATGAAACTGAACTAGTTATTAGTGTAATATCAAAAGGAATTCTAAGCCTCAAAAAGGTTAGAGCTGACTTTTGCCTAGTAAAATCTAATTTTGGGAGGAGAGAGAAGAGAGGAGAGGTCAGATGCAAAATTTTGACAGATCCAACATCAAGTGCAATAATTTAAATATAACTTTTTAAATTAAACAGCCTTCATTTCTAAATAAAAATGGGACAGGTTTACACTCAGTTTCACAGATTGTTCAAATAGAAATCTATTTAGAATTTTTTTCCTCTCTCTTCTACTTGATCTACAAAACATTTCTCCTTGAAAGGGAGAAAGTCAGAGACAAAACTAGTTGACTCACATTTATAGAGTTTATCTTGGAGGGAAAATTAAATAAGGAAAAAAAAACATAACTGGATTAATTTTCTCTTAATGGACAGTGTGTCTAATCGGGTTGGTGACAGGACAGCGGAGGAAAAGAAGGAAAGAAATAGATGAAAGGGTGTGTATAAGGAGGGGTAACCCTAGTTATCTCCCACTCACCCAGTTCTGAAAGCAATGGGGGGAAAAAAACAGAAAATATAGGCTCAGTTTTTCCAACTCCTCCTTGATTAAATCACTGCTATGAGTCACTTTCTACTTCTCTAGCAACTGAAAGAAGTTACTGCAAGTTTATATAGAGAAGAAAAGGAAATCTTGCTTTCTGGGTATGGTGGAAAAATCTGTTTTTCAGCTCCCATCATGTTAAAACAGATCTTGTTTCGTGCCAGGAAGGAACACACCTCCTTCAGCAAATCCTTGCTGCCCAATTGGTCAAATTACTGTCCCAAATGCAGAAACGTGCACCTTCTCCTTGTGACTGCAGAATCCCCCCAAACACTATTTTAATCCAGTGATTAAATTCACAACCCTGGTCAAAAATAGCCATGGAACAAGAACTGTCAATTCAGATAGTGGTGAGACAGTTGTGTCAACACTTGAACTATCCACTGCATCTCCTTATTCAAAGTTTCGGTCTTCTACTCTAACTCAACTGGGAATGATCTGGTTGGGCGGGAAGAACAGCTCCCAGAATCCCACTGGCTAGGAAAATAAAGGAAGGATTGCTCTAATGCAGGGGTCCCCAAACTTGGCAGCTTTAAGACTTGTGGATTTCAATTCCCAGAATTCTCCAGCCAGCTTTGCTGGCTGAGGAACTCTAGGAGTTGAAGTCCACAAGTCTTAAAAGTTGCCAAGGTTGGAGACCCCTGATCTAAAGGATACAATTTCCATCAGCAACTTTCCCTATGGAGATTCTCAATCACCCACATCATGGTTGTCCTAAAGGTGCTTTATCCAAAAGGCATCTGGACTTCCTTGGTTTTTTTTTTCTTTGAAAACATTTCGCTTTTCATCCAAGAAGTTCAAATTTCAGTTAGAACTGAAAAAGCTTCTTGGATGAGAAGTGAAATGTTTAAAAAAAAACACACACACCAACAAGACAGTCCAGTTTGAAAAAAGCATATTGGGGACTTGTAGACTTTATTACACAACAATTCATAGAATAGACCTTTTTTTCATAGTCATGGTTCTCGACTAAAAGCCTTTAATGTAAATAATTAGCAAGACAGCTTTTCTTATAATTAAGCTGGCTATCTAGCCCATGTCAAAACTTGATGGCTTGAAAACAGCAAACTGGTTTTGGTTGGGTCCAAATGTGGTGAAATGGTTGGAAGATGCTGAATGACAATTTATCACATTAGGGAATGTGTCTGTTTTTCTATCATACTTCTTCTTGCCTTTTGAAGCTAAGTGATCATTGTATGAATAGGAATAAATCCAATTCAGGGCAACTCCTGAGAAACCAGGCATCAGTGTTTATTTAGATCACAAAAGTAATCTAAAAGCAGCCAAATATATACAGTAGTGGCCAAAATTGTGGAAATCTTATGGGAAGTGTATTTTTGAGGTTTGATGGCTAATAACACCACTTTTTTCTTTTTTTTTTTTTTTGGAGTTTCAAGATAATCCTATTCCACTGCTGGAATGGCCTGCGAATAGCCCAGACCTTAACCCAATTGAAAATCTATGGAGCCGACTGAAGAAGCGACCCAGCAATAAAACCCAGTTAATAGAAGCCAACATTCAATCTTGGTTTAACATTATAACAGCTGCAGAACTAAAAGACTTGGTTCACTCCATGGAAAGACGTTGTAAGACCATAATTCATGCTAAAGATTACCCATCGAAGGATTAACTGACAGGGTGATAGTTTTTGTATGTCTCGTTTTTTCTACGTGTTTCACTTTTCTTCTTTATACTGCAACTGCTATTCTAATAGCAAATCCTTCATAAAAGTTATTGCATTACATTCTTGTTTAAATTATCTCTCCATTGACATATAATTTTATATTTTTATAATTTTATAATAATAATAATTATAAATTTATAATTTTAAAGTGGTGTTATTAGCTAGTTTTAGAAAATACACTTTTCCCAAAAGGTTTCCACAATTTTGGCCACTACTGTTTGTTTTTGTGTGTGTGTGTGTGTGTGTGTGTGTGTGTGTTTGTGTGTAGTCCTTGACTTACAACAGTTCATTTAATGACCACTCAAAGTTTAAAAAGCACTGAAAAAAGGATTTATGGCCATTTTTCAGTTATGATCTTTGAAGCATCCCCGTGATCACGTGATCAAAATTCAGATGCTTGGCAACTGGTTCATACTTATGAAGGTTGCTGTGTCCCAGGGTCATGTGATCCCCCCTTTGTGACCTTCTGACAAGCAAAGTCAATGGAGAAGCCAGATTCAGTTAACAACCAGGTTACTAATTTATCAACTGCAGTGGTTCACTTAACTGTGGCAAGATTGATTGTAAAATGAGGCAAAACTCACTTAACAAATGTCTCACTTAATGACAGAAACGTTGGGCTCAATTGTGGTCATAA